GAGAGGACTCTCAGTCTGTCAGGAGAGGACTCTCAGTCTGTGAGGAGAGGACTCTCAGTCTGAGAGGAGAGGACTCTCAGTCTGTCAGGAGAGGACTCTCAGTCTGAGAGGAGAGGACTCTCAGTCTGTCAGGAGAGGACTCTCTTTTTGTTGAAAAAGCTCCTTATACCCGTTAGCGTCGCTAGCACCAGAAGCTAACAACAACGATCTCCGGTACCGGTGCGCTCTCTCTCTCTCTCTCGCTCGCGCACGCACACAAAATGGCTCGTTCCACACACACACAGAGCCGAGCTTGAATGAAACACAGAAACACAGACGTAATTGTACTGTACTGGAGCATATTATTTTCGAATCAATAATTTTTCAAATTATTATATTTAAAAAAAAAATGTTTGTAATAACCATTGTTCCTACTGGTCTCTCGCTTCCCCCCTGTCATGCCTCTGGTAGCCAATATAAGGCTTAGCAGTACAGATGAATGTGGGCTCACTATTTTGCAAGCAACCGGTCACAGTTGCCCTGTTTATCTCATGTCTTATAAAAGCTTATTCATGATTTATAAAGTGTTCACAACCTAATTAATAAATGAATTACAAACTATTCGTAAACCCTTTATAAGGGTAGTCTTATTGTAAAGTGTTACCGAATTCTTATAAGTTGTACAACACTGATTATCCATTGGCCTGATATAACATTGTCAAAATCAGCTAAACAAAAGGACTGATGCAGCAGTTTTATTTTAATTAAAAAAATGTATTTGCATTTTAAGTTAAAATAAATCATTTTTAATTACAAGGCATACATAGCAAAATAAACACAGATAGATACATAAATTAATTATATAACAATCGACAAATCAGAAAAAAATAATTCCTCACACTCTTTTTTTGGTCAAAACGTACTGCCTACAATACCCACAATGCCACTCGACCGCTGAAAGTTGGCTTGAAGATTTGGATGTTTTATACTAGTAGTGGCTAAAGTAGCCTGGAGACACATACGGAGATAGGAAGCTACAAATTGCTTTCAAACTCCCCCCCCCAATATGTTTACTGAAGTGTTGTTAGACTTCATCAGCTGCTTCTGTTGACAAAATAAGACTTTATACAACCTGTATAAAGTCACACTTTTGTAGTTGTATTCCCCAACACCTTGACACTTTAATGTGTAAACTCAAAGTATTCCTCCTTTCCGTTAAATATACAGGACAAAGTAAGCAAAAAACAAAGCATAAATATCTTACATAAAAAATTCCAAACCAGTTGTAACTCTGGATAATAATTGTGTGATCTTGTTAAGCCTCATGCTCACAATAAGAAGCCAAAAAAAAAGAAGATAATCAGGACCTGAGAGAATGAACGTGTTGGTCTCATGTTGTTCCAGCGGACGTGGCTCGCTCTATGGGGGCCAAGGTTGTGATTGCAATCGATGTTGGAAGTCGGGATGAAACCAACTTAACCAACTATGGCGACTCTCTGAACGGCTGGTGGCTGCTATGGAAACGCTTCAACCCTCTGTCTGAGAAAGTCAAGGTACTATTCAAGTCAGATGTGTACTATTTTTAGTACTAAGTGGGAAAACGACTATTGTATCACTTACTGATATTATTTGAGAGAAATAGTGGAAAGTATGTGAGAATGGTGGAATGTAAGCAATCCGATGGTGAGTATCGGCCTTCACAGCCCTGTAAGACTCGACTCTTGTTACCTCCCAGGTCCTGAACATGGCAGAGATCCAAACCCGGCTAGCATACGTGTGCTGTGTGCAGCAGCTGGAGCAGGTCAAAGACAGCGAGTACTGCGAGTACATCCGGCCACCCATCGACCACTACGGCACACTGGAGTTCGGCAAGTTTGACGAGATCGCTGTGAGTTTTCGCTTTGTTCCTAAATGTAATATTACCCATGCCTCCTCCACCTGGCGGCTCAGAATCTCCCTCTGACCCCCAACCTCCCTGTGTGCAGGAGGTGGGGTACCAGCACGGAAAGACATTGTTCGACGTGTGGCAACGCAGTGGTGTGGTGGACAGCATGCTGAAGGACAGACATCAGGAGGAGTTCCACAAGACAAAAACTGGCCATGTGAGTGCAAACTGCAGAAACTACTGACCTAGACTATGATAGATTTTGAATTACTGATCATGTTTTGTTTTACGCGCCAAAGGCACAATGTATCTCATAGTTCTTCATTTGGTCCGTCCTTCTGCACTCTTCTTGTTAATGTGGTTAATACAATTTCTCTATGTGGTCAGAGATTCAGTTCATGCAGCAGTGAGGCCCAAAACACATGCTGTTCCTAGCCTATGGCTTCTTTTTAACATGCTCACTGTAATTTTGTATTATTGACATTGCATTGCTACATTTTTAGATGCTTCAACTATTCATAATTATCCGGTGAATCACCAGTACCTCCTTCATAACATTCAACAACTAGCAGTCTCTGGCTCTGCACTTCCCATGCTCACATCATTCAGAACCTGTCAACGAACCTCTGAGGTCACTCAAGGCTCTGTTCTGGGTCCTTTTTTCTCTCTACACCAATTAACTTGGTTAATTATTGTAATTTCTGTATTAGTTACTTAAAATGGTTTATTGGAAGTTATATGTAATGTCACTCTTGCTGATCTGAATTTGTATCCTCATGGTTGTGTTCACTTATTGTATGTTTAGTATTATATGCAGTGCCCTCCTCTACACGTCACCTAGCTTGTGGCATGCAGGATTACACAGTACCAGGATTTATGAGTGCATCTTTAAATGCAATAATTTTAGTGCCAGCGGTGTCATGGTAAGCCATTGAATTATCAAATAGGTGAAGGCTTTGTCAGCACAAAGTCACAGCGACTTATTTAAAAAAAAAATTGATGACAATTGATGTCTGTTTGTAAAGGAGGAAGAAAAAAGACGCCTTGACTTTAGAGTAATGCAGTTTGTGTCTTTCAGGTGGTCACGTGTCCCAACGCGTCCTTCACAGACCTGGCAGAGATAGTGTCAAGAATCGAACCTGTCAAGAATCCAGTGATCGATGGTTAGTTATCAGAAAATATTCAATAACCAATGCATCAAAAATGTTTTATATTTATATAAACTCTTGTGGATCTTCCTTAAAATACTGTTTTTGATTTTGACTACTCTATATCCACTTCAAACACTATGTCCATCCTGAAAGCTCTCAGAAGGATAAAGTAAAAAAAAAAAAACATAAATCATCCTTTTGGAAATCTATGTAATGATAACGTTTTATGATTTCAAGCATTCATTTTTGTAAAACATTTGTTGAAGAAAATAGTGAAAAAATATGCTCATGTTGTCTGCTGTAATGTGTGCCTGTAGAGGAGCTGTCTGATGATTGCCAGACGGACTACGATGAGGAGGCAGTGGAGAGCGCGCTCTCCGACTACGAAGCCTTCACTCAGGGCAGTGAACACACCGAAGAAGAGGAGACAGCAGACACTGCTGAAACTGTGTGTGAAAAACTACATCATTTACTCATTGTTAATTAATTTACTCCTCAGGGCTTCAATTATGTAATATTACCACAGCAATCATTTCTACATTAATAGCAGGGGGGGGGAATACTCAGATCTTGTACTTGAGTAAAAGTAGAAGTACCAGAGGAATACTCTGTTACAGTAAAAGTCCTGCATTCAAAATGTTCCTCAAGTAAAAGTAGAAAAGTATTATCATCAAAATATCGTGAAAGTAGCGACAGTAAAAGTAGTCATTGTGCAGATTGGTCCATTTCAGAATAATAGATATGATATGTTTTATAATGATTGATCATGAAAGTGTTCTCAAAGCTGGTAAAGGTGCAGCTAGTTTGAATGACTTTGTATGCTGCAGGGTAGCTTGTGGATTTACTCCAGGAGGAACTAAAGTCTGATTTAACACTTGGTTAGATTTCACATCATTCATCCACATCTGTAAAGTAACTAAAGGTATTAAATATATGTAGTGGAGGAAAAGTACACCATTTACCTCTGAGCTGTAGTGGGGTAGAAGAACAAAGTAGCAAAAAATGAAACTCAAAAGTACATGTCTCTAAAAATGTTACTTTAGAACAGTACTTGAGTAAATGCACTTAGTTACTCTACACCACTGATTAATTTATTTCTCTGTTTCACAGGATGAGGAAGTTCAAATCCGAGTTCAACGCCGGCCCAAAAATGCTGCACTAAGTCCTACACCATGACTCCAAAAAACATGCATGTAAAGGCAGTATTTCTGGTAACCGATAAGGAATTCTCAAACATGCAGCTTATACTCTTATCCAATCAGCAGCCAGGTAGCTCAAGTCTTCCACACACTCAGCAGGACTGTAGTTGGATACAGCGAGTTCTTGTTCAGAGCTTTCAGCAAAAGAAGGGAGTTTTAAGACAGGGAGGAGCCACAGTGTGTCGCTGTCTCCTGCACAGACTTCAGTGCTCAAACAGTTCAGTTAGAACCAGGGTTTATTGGAGAAATCAAAAGCACATATTTTTACAAACTGGTTTATTAACAGCACGGTGTATTTTTCTACTTGTTTGACACATTGGTTGTTTTGTATGGCAGTTCCTTGCTCTGTTGTTCTGGGGAAATAGGAAACAAATACATACAAGCAATTCAAGCACACTTAAAATGGACTGGAACATTTTAATTTAATATGTATAGTATATACAGGGCCATTTCTGCCACAAATCTAGGCATAGTTGCTTCCTACCATAATAAGCTTAACCCATAAAGCACTATTGTGCATTTCATGATGTATACATTTAAGTTAAAACAGTTAATATGCATTTGATGTGCCTTGAATGAACGCCCCTTTCGTCTTCTCTTCAGAGCATAAACACACCACATGGTGACCACGTTTCATCCCAACAAGAATAGCATACAGTACAATACACTTTTTCACCTATGAGAAATAACTTGCATTGGATAAATATCATGTATGAATTTCTTACAGCGTTCCTCAGCAGCACTGCCATGCAGGGGAGGCAGACTTTATTTAAACAAATATTTGTGGATGTACGCTACTGTTCGACAATGCACAAAAGACATGGTGGAGCTGCCCGCTGATGGCACAAATTCAAAGGCAATAAACCACTTTAGTAAAAAAGAAGAAAAGTATTTAATTGTTGGGAAACATTTGCCGTTGCCTTCCATAAAAACCTGCTGATTTGAAGGACATTGCCTCGCAGTTTGACACCATGTGGCTTGATTTTTTGTTTATGTTTTTTTCTTAACAGTAAAAATGATTAGACTATAACAGTTAGTATAGATACGTATACATAGTGTTCAAGAAGTACGTTTGCAATTGAAACACAGAATTGGACGTAATCCAATAAAACAGGTGTAACACAATTCATAAAAAATGGGCTAATATTAGCATAACTAATTTGGGTGCAAAATGAATAATGTTATTCATTTCCCATGTTTGCTCTTTTTTGAAACCCTTGGTTATGCTGAGTCTCAATGGGAAGTCCCGGTTTAACAAAGGTTAAATAGGTAAAATACAAAAATGACAGCTGTTCTGTTAAACATGACATCAAAACACGTTTCTGTGAGCACAAACTTGACCCCAGAGGAAATCTACAAAGGGCAGACTCAGCCAGCGGTGCGTTCACAGGCTCTTCTCATGGTCCCTTTACTGAGTTGGGAAGTCACTTTTATTTGTGATATGGAAACAATGTGTTGTTTTGCTCGGTGTTTAAACACAAGGTGATATCTGTTTGCAAGTTATTGTTCCAACTCGAGCGGGCCTTCATAAGAACTGTTCTATTAGGGAAGTATTATGTCCGATTATTACGACAACACATGAATGCAGCTCAAATGCTCTATCTCGCAATGTGAATGAAAGTTAAACAGTATTTTTGTATCCGTTCATCCTTGGCCTATGCCTCTCACTTCCATTAGGTCTGATAAAAATAGGGCCAGTAGTTTTCTGTGATCCTGCTGACTGACAGACAGTTATTGCGTCAATCATAGTTTTCATGAACATGAATAGACGTGTACCCAGCCAGTTTGCACAGCATAGTGTATTTACTGTTGTTACACCAAGTATTGTTGTTGAATTTGGATAAAGTTATTCATTCAACCCGAGGACAGATCACTGGTCTCACCCTTACGACTAAACATGTGTTGGTACAGCCTTGCAAGCCTGGTGCCTGGAATGTGAAACTTTATAATAGAGTTATATTGATAGAAGATGATCATCATTGTAAGGGTGATTATGACAGGACATCCTGACACTGGTACTAACCCACTACACCATTTAATGTAACATTACACTTTTTATAGCTGCTTTTTCATCACCGTGGTTACAGCTCCTGTGGTTTTGATTTGTGATTTTAATATTGATGACCTGAAGGGAAAAGTGCCAAGCGTATAGTGACTTCTGAAGTACTCTAAAGACCATCTCTGTTTATGTTAATGATTTGTATGTTATCATTAACAGAAAACATAAATGTAAGAACATTTTATGTTAGACATTGGCTTTGAAAAACTGTTGGTTTTCTTTCAGTTTTTGTTACTTATTTTTGGTGAAATAGTTGCATAGAATATTGTAGAAAGCTTTAGAATATTTAATTATACATGTTTAGTGAATAACCTGCTTGTTTAAATAAAAACAAATGCACTATTTGATAGAATCTTAAAGCCAAAGTTGTGGAAAAACTGAACAGCAAAGTACAGACGATGAGTTCTTCTTTGGAATCTGAAATGAAACTGTAACCATTTTTCCCCTGGGATAATAAAGTCTTTCTGATTCTGATGTCGCCATGAAAACTAAAACATTTTCTGAATGACTAACACAGTGTTTAGGTTCTATACATGTTAGATCAGAGTATGTTTTTAAGCTATGTGACTTAATGATTTGACTTTGATGTGTGTCTTGTCTTTTTGTATGTGATATGGACCTTGAGTCTGAAATAAAGATTGAATTAATGATGAAAAAATGTCAACACTTACTGATGCATAACAATTATCAAAATATCAAGCACAAGAAATAACCCAGATATATTTCCTATATTAGATTTTAAATGTAGGATTTGTACTTGAATATTTGTATACTCTAGTATTGTTAGTTTTACTCAAGTAAAATAGCTATGGTGTTCTTGTATTTTATTTTATTTAATAAATTCTGCTGAACATTGTGCCTGTCCTTGCAGAATGGCAGGTGTTTTTTTTCCAGTGTGTAACATGATAAACTCACCGATAGTCTGGTCTGTCCATTAAAAAAAAGACCAAAGAGTAATTTGGATTAACATTTATTTGTAAAATGGTTATGTAGGGACCACAGACTTCATGTGTCCATCCAGACATGGGGTGAGACCGGAGCAAAACACAGCACAGAGCTAACCCACAGTCTTTAAAAAATCATCAGTGCTAACATAATCTTACATAGATTACGTATATAAAGAAAGGTTATAACATTTCCCAGAAAGAGTGCAATTTTAACACCACCAGGACAACAAAGGGAAACCTGCTCCACCTTCGTAGCCAGTTGCCTAAATGCTCCACTTCCGACATAGAAAAAGAATAACTTGGTTGCAGGGCTAGTGTTTTCATGTGCCCCCCAGCGCCGTATAGATAGAAGAGTTACGACAGCGGAAGCCCAAAAACGGTTATCGTCACGTGGTTCATGCAGACGAGGATCGTTCCCCGGAAGTTCATGGCAGGCAATGTGAATGCATTGATAACAGGAGATAGAAATACGATTTTTGGTAATTATTAGTGAATAAAGGTTTTGATTTGCAATATTTATACAACAAATCGATATGTGTATGTATTTACATCAATATGTTTTAAAAAATAAAATAGAATTTGCTAATATTAAGTGATAATATTAGGATTAGTGTGAACAACTAGTTTACATGTTAGGCTAACAGTGCCTTGGTTAAAGAGCATGTTGCTGTTTATTTATAGCTTTGAATTCTTTAAAACCAATATTATCTTCTTAAACCTGTATGGTAGTCAGGAGCATCACTTTCTAATGTTTATTGATATATTTAGAGGGAGGGGGTCTAAAGGAATGCTTCAAAATTCAGATTAGATTCATTTCTACCATTTTCTTAAATTCATGGTAGTTTCAGTAATCCCATGGTAATTGGGGACACAAGTTATCTAAATGACTAATGTCATCTTTATGGCCTTCAGAAAGGACAGGAGACCGTGACTATCAAAGGACTAGCAGCAGCAGCAGCATGATGATGATGTTAAATGTGTTGTTTTAGGAACATCCATTGCAAATACATGGAATTCAATAAACATTGAATAGCATATCATGCAGTTTGTCTGTGCCTTTTCCTCCGTGTTGTCCTGGTTTGCTGTGCTGCCTCCTAGTCGCCACCATGGTTTGCTGTGCTGCCTGGGGATGCTCAAATCGCTCCGAGAAAGGAGTACGAATGTACGGCTTCCCCACTGACACAGAGCGGAGGAAAAAATGGCTGGCTCAAGTCAGCAGGAGCAATTTCACGACCAACAGCAACAAAATATGTGAGGTTATTATATACAAACACTGCATTTGCACTTTTTCACAAAACGAAAACCACACCATTGGGAAAGCTCAATGTTTTGTTTAATACAAAAAAACAGGGAAAGTCTTGAAAAACACTGAGAGTTGAGACTTAGGGTGCAGGGTGAGGGTCTCAGTGCAGGTATTCAGGCTCCATTGAATCCCCCTCTGGTTCTTGTGCTGAAAGAGGGAGTAACAGACAGGAGAAAGGGTTATACACACCTATATAGCACACC